TGCGAATAGGTGGTCATACCATACAGTTTGGGTAAAGCAGGCCAAGACAATATAAAATCTTTAAAATTGCGCGAAAACAACAGAAAATTTTCAACATAGCTTAGTTGATGGTTCTAACAGCAAACAGTAATTTTCGATACTTTAATCAATCATATGTATCCTACTGAAAAATAATAGTACTGCCAACATTGCAAGTATGGTAATTTGAAGCACCGAAGTTCAACAGAATGCTACAGCTATACAATGCAATCAAATTTGCTTGACAGTTTTTTACATTTTAGAAATTTTGTCTTTACAATTATTTTCTGATGATGTTAGTAGCAGTATTGTGGCAGTTTAGTAAAAGCATAGTTAAATCTTTAACATCTTATTAAAGTGTCTGAATCGTCTAGACACTGTACAAAAACAACTATCAAACGTCAGTCTTGGATTACAGAAATGTTTATTTTACTGTTTTGTAACATTAAAATTTTTGTTGAAAACAGAGAACAAGAAGTTTTAATTTATGTCACTGTTATAAAAGAAAATTAATTGCCCAGAAAGCTATAAAAGAATAAAAAGAAACGATAGTATTTTCTAAAATTTCGCAAATATTTCTTTTTTTTTAATGCACCAATTAAAGATAATAAAATGTAACTGATTATGCCTTTTAAATTTTGAACGCATTTTTCATGGTTTGGTTATCAAATTTTTTAACAGTGGAAACAACAACCTCACCGACAAAATATCAACCAGATTTGTAAAAGAAAAATGAAAACCTGACATATTGAAACATTTATTCATTTAATTATTTGATTATTTATTTATTGAATTTACTCTATATTTCATTTTATTTCTAGAAACTTAAAGAGGTACACTTCCTCATTTCTTAGTAAATCAAAAATAAGAGAATTAATTATGGCTAACATTTGATATTATACTTCAGTCAAATTCTTACAAAAAATTGAAACCATGTCATTGTTAATTAGAACGTCTATAGAAACATTTAGTTCGTTTAGCTTTACCAGTGATATAAAAAGAACATCTAAAATTTTGACCGTACAAATAAAAATTAAATTAACAGCTGATTGAAGTCGGCAAAAGGGTACTGGCAAATGCAGACTGTGAGGCCAAGTGAAATAATGGTGCTGAATAAAACTAAGATGCAAAATACAGTGGGAAATATAAGCAAAAAATTATGTTAAAAGAAATTCTTCGCTGTTCCGACATCGAAAAGATCAACAATAAGAATTACTGTTCTTTTATAGTCGACTCGTTAACGAGTAAATTTTATAATTTTATTATTAAGCTAATGCTAAAATTTTTGAAGTTTTTTGAACAATTACTTTGCCAGAAAGAATATCCGCTGCAGCTGTATGCTGCGTAATATACTTTATAAACCCATTCAATAGACAAACCAAAACTTAGTTTCATAGTACTTAAAGAAAGCGATTTAAAAAATGTATAGTACTGAGACTTTTTGTTGTTTGTATCCCGCACTTAGTCATTATTCAAAAATTTTCATCGACACAAAAACAGAAATTATTTTTCACCTATCAATAAGTTACAAGATACATCTGACAAAAGTTGGTTACGATACTTTAAAGAAAGCACTGAAGAACCTATATTGACGTAGAAATGCTTAACACAGCAAATGCGCGATGATAAAACGTTTTCAAAGTTTAGTAGTTTGACCTGGAAGGCAAAAACCAATTTGTGATTATCGGTGCAAAGATGAAAACACCATACGATTAAATTTTTTTTTTAGCTTCAATGCAACATGAAAAAGCTGAGATTTAAATGACAAAACTGTAAGATCGCTTGAATAAAAGCCAAAAGTGCAAAAAAAAAAATTGAGATAGTATAATAATGTTACACAATAAGTGACTTGATTTATTTTTGTTTAATTTATGACTGAAAAAAATCTTTTTTCTAGTAAAAAGTTTCTTTCTTTTTCTTTTACAAAACGGTTTGTTTGATTGTCGTTATCACTGTTTACCAAAAATTAATTTGCTTATAAGTGCTTGTTTGGTGCAATATAAAAATTTTTTTATCACTGCCATTTGGGAGTGGCAATTGATGGTACAGCCAAGTGATTTAATCAAGAAAAAATCAAAAATAAAATAGCTTTGAAAAAGACGGTAATATCGGACGAATAGTCTCAGAAGCAAAACGCCTTTAAACTGTAAAAGTATATAATTTTGTCTTTTATCACTGTAGCCAAATAAATTGGTTTAATGCGGTTAATCTAATGTAAAACTATAAGCTTTTTTCTTGACTATTATGACTGGCATAAACTGTTGTTGTTGTAATCAAAAGATGTTGTGGAAAAATTAATAGAGAATAAGCTGAATAATCACTTATACTTTATTTATCTTATATATAATCACCAATAACCAATATGTCGTTTACAGATTTTTCAGCTCATATATATCTATTTTTTTTACAGGTTTATTTATGTATACTATTTTGTGGTCATCGTTAAGGAGGACACTGTGAGCATCAAAATGAAGTTTTTTGGTCGGCAGAAGAAGACAGCCACAGATCAGTAAGTTTCTTCTCACAAAACTTTTTAGAGACAAGTCAGAAGAGAAATAGAGTTTTTATTGCAAAAATTTTTCTGTATTTTTTACATAGTTATTTTGTAGATAAAGAGAGTCTTTTTCTGCAAAATTATTCTTACATTTGAATATTCTGTTTTTTAAAAAATTTTAGAGTAAACTTTTCTTTAAAACGATTTATTTTGTTACTTTTTTGGCGCTTCTGTTTTTTTATAGTTGTATTTTGACTGCATGTTACAATTTATAAAATTACAGACTTTTAGCAAAAAATACAGTAAAATTTTAGCTTTTCAAAGTACTACAAAACAGTTTTAAAAATAAAGTCTAAAATCAGAAGTGTAGCCGGAAACTTAAAAGTGTTGTTCGTTCAAAAAGGCCTAATGATGTGAAGCAAATGAAGAAGATTTTGTAGAGCGTTGAAATGGAGTTTTCATCTTGTCGCTCTACTTCAACCATATTAATTTTACAAATAATCTATCAAAGAAAACACGAAACTTTAAAAAGTTCGCTTGATAACAACACTGCACACTGGCCAGGTGCAGCACCAATGACAAAATGCTTGTTCCTCGCTCATTTTCATACCATCTAGATAATGAGAAATGCAGATATTTATAGTTTTCCTTTAAAAAAGAAGCAATTTTTTTACAATCTTTTTGAGAGTTTTTGTAAAATGTTTATCGTTTCATATTTGCTGTTTGATCTAAGCATTTTAAGAATGTTTCAAAGTATTATATCTGCAAAATGAAACATAATTTAGAATAAAAAAACCTGACTTAAACGAAGGGCAGAGAACAAAATGGTCCTCTATAATGCTCAGTTGTGTTTTGTTGATTCTAAACGGTGTACAGTTTTCAATTTACATGACATCTGCTTGGCCTTACCTTGAAACGGTTAGTTTTGTGTTTGTCAAAAACGTACAAGAAAAGTGGTTCTACAGTTTTCGTAATACTTAATTTGTTTCAGTTTTTGCTTTTTCTTTCTCTTTTTGAGTTTAACTCAAACTTGATAAGGCTTTCTTAAATCTTTTCATGATATCTTTCAGAAATGTATTGGGCTTTGTGATACACATTTACAATCTGTTCCGTTATTTAAAAATTTTATTTCTATAAGCCTTTTCTATCGATGAATAATTTTAAATAAGTCGGAAACTCAAAATCAAAAAAATTGAAGAACTATATTTTTGAATGTTAAAATACGTTGCAGTTAGATCAAAACGCTGACCTTGATTTTTTTGGATGGGTTGTAGCGGCTTACAGTTTTGGACAAATGATTTCCAGTTGGCTTTTTGGTTACTGGAATCAAAAAACAATGTCGACAAAACATCCAGCAATTTGTGGATTAACATTAGCAATATTAGGCAACATTCTGTATGGTTTTCTGCCTTTGTTTTCTTCAAATCATAAGTGGTATATGATCGTTGCACGACTGTTAACTGGTTGGGGATCAGGTTAATTGCTTTTTAAACACATATTCTACATTGGCTTATCGTCTTAACCAGGACCTTATTCAATTAGTTGTTGGAAATTATCTTTTTCTTTCTGCTTAACAATGATAAGTAAAATGGTTTATGAATACAGTACTTTAAAGAATTTTGGTAAAGTTTTAAGAATGCTGCTTAGTAATTACAGCTTCACTTAATCTAATGGCACTGTAGGAACATTAAGTATAATACGATCATACTGTGCTATGGCTAGCACTCTGGAAGACCGAACTCGCGCAGTGTCGCTGGCTACCGGAGCATTCGTTCTTGGCATTTCTATTGGACCTTCAATTCAAGTAAGAACTACTTTTTAAAGATTTATTGATTTTGTTACTGTTATGATTTTTTGGTAATTTTTTCATTAATTCCTATTTTTTTTAAAAATTGTAAAAAAGAATAAATAAAAACAAAAATACAAAGCTTTCTTTTGTGCTACCTTAAGTAATTTACCAGATGTTTTGAAGTCGTTGTTTGTATCACTGGGAGAAGGAGACAGTAAGGTTTTATTTTTCCCGGTCAATATGTATACAACTCCAGCATTCGCCATGGTAGTTGTTTGTTTGGCCGCAATCACTGTACTGGCCACATGCTTCAAAGAGAATTACGTTGGAGTCATAACAGATGGAAAAAAGCAAGGTGATTTATTGTAATTTCTTCCTCTTCTTTCTGGTTTTTAGAATAACAAATAGGTAAAAACTACTTTCTGCAGGTTTGATAAAGAAACTTTTTTAAAAAAACAGCGTTTTTTCGATACAATTACTTAAAATTTTTAATTTTCTTTTTGAAATGAATTATAGTCGCTTTCAATGTCAAAAACTTCAATGAGCTAAAATCTTTATTTAATCAGTTTACAGACCCATTTCTCGTGATCCCAAAATTTGACCGAACTCCTGCATTTATCTGTATCTACATAACTTTTGTTATGCAAATGGTTGCAACAGGTCTTGAAGTGTTAGTTTTCTGCTTTTTTTCCTTCTCAAATGCTGTAAATGGTAAACAACTTGTTTAAAATAGTTTGATGTGGTCAGCGGCAAATACGGACTTTTTGTTTTCTTTTTTTTACTGTTCAAAGTTACAAAAATTTTTTTCGTATATTAAGGTGCATCGTTTGACAGTTTCATAGCAATTTGAAGTTGCAGAATTGCAACACCGTTAACAGTTGCGTTGTACAACTGGACAAACGAAGATGCCTTACGTTACAATGGGATAATACAAACTTGTTCAGCAGCCATTGATGTTGTCAACTATATTCTTCTTAGTTTTACACGAGTTCGACAATTGTTAGTTGTTAATGTCACTTGCCATTATTACATTTTTTCCTTTGAACTTATCTATGTATACTGTAATAATTCAGCGACAAACGAGTCCTGCTTATCATTGGGATTTGTTGCTTTATCCTGTACCAATTGTTGACACTCCCTTGGCCTTTTTACGGCGGACCATTAGACTATATTAAATTGGGTTTGTTTTTGAGTACCAATTTTAAATTGAACTAATACGCATTAACAGCAGTGTCAACAAACTTTTTCCACGCGATATTGTGCAAAACAACAACTTTATAATCAACATCAAACTATAAATTCGCCACTACAGTTGTAATCAGTCATTGGCCTTTTGCAGCACCGAATGCTACTGTTGAAGATACTTCCTATTCCGGCGGATGTTCCAGAAGCTATTCGTGGTGCTCACACACAACCCGAGTACCACTTTTTCTTTATGCATTCAGTTATGTTGCTGTACTTGGCATTGGATTTCCATACATCTCTGCTCCAACTGGAGTTCTTTTTTCCGAGATTCTTGGTCCACGTAAGCAGGTGATTGTTGTTTTTATACCATGAGAGTCATAAAAAGCTAAAAAATACTCTTATATTGCTTTATAGCTTTTTAGTTACAATGGTTTTCAATTGTAGCGGCTGTTGTGAAAGCCAAATCGAATACATTACGGGTGTAGTGTGAAGTTTTTTCATTTTTAGGGAATGATGCAAGGGATTTTTGCGTTTTTTGGCAGTCTCGCTCGTTGTGTTACTCCGCTATATCAGTCGTACGTTCTAATGCCTATAATTTTAAACAACAAAATCCGTCTTTCAGAGTAGCAGTGCTATCCCACGTCTTCCTGTCAAAGAAAATGTCTATTCTCTTCCTTTCCCACGGAATAAATTTTGTTACGGAACATAGGAATTATTTCAATGCTGCGGCTCCAAGCCAAACCTCAGTTTTCTTTATACCCTACAAATCCAAACTGTTAGTTACGCAAACGTTTGCCAAACTGCGGATGCTCGCGTTCATTCCTACTTATCACTTATCGGTTACGGGAGGGGCAATGCCTTTTTTTGAGAAAGATTTTAGTAACTTTCGCATAATGCCACAATGCTGTACGGAGGAACCTCTGCATTAAGCTAGCCGGCTCCAAAAAACTATGCAAAACTTTTAGATGAAATACTATAAATATTTGAAATGTAACAAAAGCATTTTGTTTACCAGTGTCTTACCTGTCATTTTTCAAAAAATGACGCTTTCCTGCCTTTTTCTGCTGGAATTTTAACTTAATTGTGAGACCGTTCTCGTTTTTTACGCATAAAAACGGGAACAGCTGTTAATTTCCTTACAGAAGGGGTCCACGTAGTTCAGAGTTATAAAATTTGTGAAGAAAGTATACGATTTAAACCACTAATGAGAAAAATAAGCTGTGATAAAAAGGCAGTCGAAAAAAACGTCATTTCTTAACAAGTAAGAAAAAGTGAGAAAAATATTAGAAAAATAAGAAATACTAAAAAAGAAATAGCAGATAAAAAAAACACAGCAATACTACCGGTGCTTATTTTTTTTGGATGTTTTCGGAAAATGAGTGGCTCTTTGTCAAGCAAAAACTCAAGGCCACCCTTGATTTCTTGCATGTAGCGTATGGAGGAGGGATACGGTAGTCCCTTTCGACGACTGCCAAAAAAATGTTCGCTTAAGTTTCAATGAAGGCCTTCTAGCCTGGGTTATCCAAGGTGCTCTGCGGTTGTTTTGGCGTCACTTATACTTTTCACAGAACTTAAAGACACACACGGTAGAACTTAAAAAGAAGAAAAAAAATGCAGTTCTCATGCAATACAAAGTTATTTCCGCCCATGTCACATTTCAGCAAATTTTTCGACCAGGACCTGGCAAATCATCGAAATTTAGCAACCCATTATGATAAACACGCTTAGCTTGAGCTCAAGCCAGCATTTTTATAACTAATTCGCTGCACTACCGTAATCCTGGTCTTGTTGCGAAAATCTGATAAACGATAGTTAGAAATGAACGCGAATATATCAGAACATGACGGATGAAGCTTTAGCCACCAAGAACTTGTTCACTTTCTTTTGTTCCTCACACAGCTCATTAGTAGGTAGGAAATACTGCATTCTCCCACACAGGGGGGCTGTTTACTATAGATTCTTGGGCTTGGACAAAACATGTAGTGCTACTTCCAAAAATAAAGCTTCTTTTTGACCTATCATTATCCTAATTGGTAGCACTGAAGGAGTCTGTATTAAAATTGTGTTAGCTCTTTAACTAGTGGTAGCTCCTCAACTACGCTAAGAGGAACAATGAAATGTGATTCTCTGGAACCTGTTTTGAAGCTTTCTGAAACTTTTACTTTTGCCATCTCTATCTTTCAATCTTGGACGGAAAAAACTTTCTTTGGTTTGATGAGTGAGCAAACTCGAGCATTTCTACGGTTAGTAAGAGTGCGAAGAGTTTCCATTCAGATTTTAAATTCTTCGTGCACTATTTACATAATTTTTAATGCATTTTAGGATTCTTTTTGAACACGTTGGCTACCTGTATCCTAATCTCATCAGTCTAACTCTTCTGACAATTGGCTTAATTCTTGTAATACTATTCCGAAAGAGGTTAGTACCATTAAAGATGGTTCCAAATACGGGGGTTCCCGCCCACTACAAACATGGTATCTTCTACCATATGTAATTGATAGTAAAATTTAAGGCAATTATTGAATATATCTTTTGTCATTTGACCGTAACGATTTATAGATGCATTTATATGCATATTGCTTGAAATTTAAAAGTCGTCATTTTAATCACTACTGTTAGTCTGTTCACTTTGGCGCTAGTCAATACTGGAATTTATAATTGTAGAGCTGTTGACACAAACAATGACATTTTCCTTTTTAATGAAAAATTTTAATTTTCTATACTATGATTTCTTCTGAGCACTTTTCGAAAACATGGAGTAAATTTTGACGTCTAATTTAGGTATTAACAAAGATCATTTGTTATTTTACTCATTCCAGCAATTAGTGCTGTCACCAGTTTAGACTTCTGTTATCTTCAGTTCTAAATGTGTTGTCAACCAATCCCTTTGAGGCTTTTCAGATTGAGCATAGAATTAAATAAAGTAAAATGCGAAATAAAACATGTTAAATTGTGAATGTTTCACCGTAATTACTTTGACAAATTGCTAAATTATTTTACTGAAATTGTGTAAACGTTGTAATTTAAAACCTTATTTGTACTATTGGCTTCGTGACAGGTGTAATAAAATGTTTTAAAATTACTGAAAGAAAAAAAATAACTTTTAAAATTTTACTAAAATTACGTCGCATCATCTAATAAATTTTTAAATGGAACAGCGTACTGTATCCTAAAATAAGTATTTCTGCACGGATATTATTAAACCTATTGTTAGAATGAAGCTATTAACTGAAAATTGGAGGATCGGTGTTTTATATATTCAAAAACAAATCTTTTAGCTTTCTATAATATTTGATTTTGAAAACTTTATAAATGAAGGAAATATTTAATGTCGAAACAGCTAAAAAATTTAAACTTTTTGCTAAATTTCAAGAAGTTATCTGGGCAGACTGAAAGCATAGGATTTGAAGTTCTTCAGGATAAGGGTTGAAACAAAAAGGAATATATGAAATATTGAAGCAAAAAAAGAAATAAAACCATTTTTAGTGGAACAGTTCTAAGTATTAATAATGGCAGTGCTGTCGACTGACGACTTTCGCATTGCGAATTCCAATGACCAGCACTGAAATTACACTACTACTGTTTTGAATTGTACAAAAAATATTCGGTTTTAAGTAATCCTAATGACACAGTAGTAAATAAGAGGTAGTAAGAAAAATTATCCTTCCAGAAGTTTTTAAGGTCCTCAAAGTTAGCGACTGTCATAGAATAGTTTTCAAGTTGATGAACTTTGTCTACGGAGAAACGTATAATTCAAAATTTTTTTTTATTGTATTATCAGCAACAAGCATAAAATCAATAAAGATGTGAGGTGACGACGAGAATATAAGTCAGTAGAACAACCTAATAAATATAACGCAACAGTTTAGAAACATGAGTAAATCATATGCTATGGTTGGTTGTAGACGTAAAACCGATTCTAATGATACAGCATTTTTCAAAGCTAATTTATTTCCATATTTAGACCGTTACCAAATAATAGAGCACCGGTTAAGAAAAAAGAAAACGAAATATTAAACGGAACAGTTAGTGACTGTATTTTGAGCTCTATTAAAAATTTTAGGTCGATTGTTGTCAACAATGAACAACTCCATGGACGGTCCAATTAAGTAAAAGAAGCAATCACAGAAAAGAAATGAAGAAGTTTCTGCACCAAAATTAGAGTATATTTTATTTTTCATACATGATTGTCTGTACAACAGCTTTTGTTTATTTTATTTGCCTCCTGTATTTAAGCAGAAATAAGCATATAAAGTTAGTTTAGCAAAAGCCAAAATTTTCAGCGAATACCATTTGAATACTATTTTAAAGGTTTGAACATTTTTGCTGTTGCTAGAACTGACTGTCCAAAATTGATTCCAAAATTAACTTGTTGACCTTTTTCAAGCAACAAAAAGAGTAAACAAGAAAATTCCAAGTATAAAAAGATATATTTTTGTTGCTTGCAATACACCTTTAAGCGTAGGAAAAGCTAATGCGGTCAAACGTTGAAACTTCCAAACAAGAGATGTCTTTTCAATCTTGCATAATAAGTAGATACTTGCATAACACTTAAACAAAAAAAA